TATATATATATATATATATATATTTCCATTTGGCATGGGTGTCTATGGATTATGGAAAATATCAATATTCAAAATATCCTGAATCAAATATAACAGACTCATTTTGAAGCTGTGAAATAATTGGAGTAAAATGATCACTTAATTCATAGCCTACAAAAATTTCATTCATAAATACAGCAGGGCTTGAATTGTACTGCACATGGTGACAGGTAAAAAGCCATTATGTACTTAATTATTTGCAAATAATAATTATAAATGATAATAAGGGTCTTCCAAATACTGAGCTGTTGATTAAAGTAGGAAACCTCAATAAGCCAACAGGATGTTTTTATACTGGTCAGGTTAATAGAAAGGTTAGCTAAAGCAGACCGGAAATATACTCACTTCTAAGTAATCCTTAAGAACGGTCGTTGTGTAAGATGTTCAAGCTTTTATTTTATATACAGTATGAAAACATAAAAAGACAAATTACATAAAAATATTATTTTACTCCCAAGCTTTTCTCTGGGCGTAAAGTTATATCTCCTATGTCATAAAAAAACAAAAAAAACAAAAAAAAAAAAAAACAAACATAAGGAAACTAATTCGAAAATTGAATTTTAAACTCTTTTATTCAGAGGAAAAGAATTTCTGGCATGCTATTAAAGCTGTCGGTCAGAATGACAAAACAAATATATAAATTAGTATCAGCAATAACTCAAATCTTTCGGTGGTTTGTGCACATAATCTACCTGGATGCTGGTGTATTATTTAGTAAGACTGTAATAATAATAATCATCATATTTAACTGAAATGTAAAAGTCTAATAAAGCTGAAATAGTTATCGCCACAAATCAAACTGTTTTTTGTTTTTTTTTGCTGAAATTAATAGGATGCAAGTGACTCCGAAACACGTTTCAGTTGATATTTCAGAGATGAAAACAAAAAGATCTTTTAAAGCAATACTCGTGTTATTCCGAAGCCACATACTTGGATCTGTCGGCTGAATATGGATGATTTGCCCTTGATGAACCATTGCGAATGAAGGATAAAATTGTCCCTTCTCCGCCCCGGTGCCATCACTCGCAGGCTATATATTCATATCCAAATTGCTTTATTGTCACGTGTTAAGCCCCACGCCCCTCTTCTTGCAAACTCTTTTTCCTTTTTTTTTTAAAGAAAAAACCCAAATGAGCGCACTAACTTGTTCATGTCATCAATATAATCACTTGGGAGAGGTCTCGAAGGCAGGAGATCTGTGTCCCATCCTCTAAGGGAAGACGGGTTTGTGTAACTCTCCTCAAACCTGAGGGGAGTTGTGGAGTGTTTGGTCAACGACAGTGCTTCCTGGAAAAGATCTGAATCGTTTTATAACCAAACCCAGCTGCGGTCTGGTGTGCGCTGCAGCCTTCGCGTGCATGTATGTATGCGTGCGTGCGTGTGGATGTATATGTGAGTGTCTATTTTCATCTGAATGAGGTAGAAGGAGAGGAAGGGGTTTCTGCGCTTCCCTTTCCAATAGAGGGGGAGATAGGAAGAGAGAGGGGGAGAGAGAGAGAGACACACACAGAGACACAGAGAGAGAGAGAGAAAAGTTTGGTCTTGTTCTCCCTTTCACTCTTTTTTTTAGGCATGAACACTGAGACTTGCGTTTCATACAGCGATATGACATCCATGGATTCATATTATAGCTCCTCTGCTGCGCAAGGTAGGGATCACCAGACGGACCACTTTAGGACATTCCCAGCTACTGATACCAAATACAGCCCCGCTGCCTTCCTGCCCAACAAAGGTCAGGGTTACGGAGAAAAGTCCAGGAGCCCCTTCCAACAGGAGTGCCAGTCATTGGATGCCGCCGCAGCTGGGCAAGGCACTTTCAGCAAATACCACCTCTTCATGCAGAGGTCTTCTTGCAAAACACCCCCCGAGGAGGACAAACTGCACCAGGAGAGGGGACACAACGGAGCGCTCATCTCTTGCTACGGTGAGTGGGGAAATAGATGAGGAAAAAAAAAACAGATAAGAGTTTAATCTTGTGTTTTCAGTTTAAAGGGAAGAAATCGAAAGGGCCTGTGTATCAAAGGACACGCTGTGCAAATGAAAGCTACCGTGATCGCTCAGCATCAGGGTGTTTTCTCCGGAGGGAGTCAGCGCGGCGTTAGTTTTACGTCTGATTTCTCGATTAGGCACACTTGCTTTGAACCTGTCACTCACTGCTCCGCTTCTTCCCACAAACTCCGCGGGTAGCTATTAAGGGTTTAGGAGATTTGATCACCAATGGCACGGATGCACAAGTGAACAAGCAGAGCGCAGATCGGCGTGAATGGAGGAGTGTTCTGATTAATCAAACCATTTATCCAAAACTGTTCTTTTTTTCTAACTTTCTGTCATCCGCAGAGAGGTGAAACTCTGAAGCATTAAACGTGTCAACTGCAGCATATGCAGGCTCTCAAAGAGGCAGCGGTTCTGTGCGTAACGCGGTTAAGGAGAGCAATAATCTTCCCGACTATCAAATTGTCTCTTTGGCCATCAAAATTAAATTAGGGCGAATTTAATGCGATAATCTGCACTACAATCCTTAATATTGGAGTTGAGTCGGACAATTGAATTAACAGGTTTTCAGATGGCACAAATAGTGAGCCCCAAACTGATGATATTTTCATTTCATTGCACCGCCTGATTGGATCCAATTAGTTTAATTGCGAAGGGGCGCTGCTGTAATTGGTAAATGATGAGGGCGTGAATAAAACTTTGACCCTAGTTAGGCCAGCGGCCACTTTTAAACAGCATTTTCTCAGCGCATAAAACGCCTTTAACCTACAGCGAACTAAACGAAAGACGATATAGTGAACTTCCTTTGGTATTATCTGCTGTTCAAAAACAGGTACGTCATTTCTTGGTTAACAATAAAAAAAACGGCCCATCATCGCATATATATATATATATGTGTGTGTGTGTGTGTGTGTGTGTGTGTGTGTGTGTGAAATTAAATATATCTCTATCTCTCTGAATGAAATATATATTATCTGGACTCAGTTTCGTTCTCGCGCTTTCTATATCTATAGCTCAGTGGACTTCTGTGCTTAAACGTAATAAATAAAATACTGTAAAAAATAATAGAATGTAAAACATAACCAAAAAAGCGAGCTAACGTTGCAGAAAATTAATACAACTAACAATAAAATAGATTCAAACAACAATAATTGTTTGATGGGAGGCCTCTGTTGTGTCGCCTTTACGCATGAAGTCATTCCTCCACGATCGTCCACAGACCCAGTCTGTTTATCTTTTTTTTTTTTTAATTCGATGGGGTTTAGGGATGTTTTGACAGTTTCCGGATGTCGGCCTCTTTATAGCTTCATAATGTCAACAACATAGAACAGTCTTTTCAAAAAGACATTCTGCTCCTTTAAAATGGCTCTTAAGCTTTTTATTACTCGTTAACTTTGGCGTAGATCTGATGGATCGAGAATAAAAATCGAAATAAAATTTTTATGTAATGTTGTGAGCCGCAGTCATTAGACCGATACATAAACTACACTTTTTTTCTTCAGTAAGAGCTATGAACTACTAAAGATCCAAAATCATTTATATGATAAACTTATTTATATAAATACAAAAAAACCCCTGATTATTGTGTTTTGTTTTTAAATTAAAGGCTTAAAGAGGAATCTTGATATCATATTTGCTGCAGATACCCATAAAGCATTTTTTTTTCTAATGACATAAAATTTTATTCCAGCTTTTCAGTTTCACTTTTCTTTGGTGCTTTATCATTTTACCGCCAGCTTTAAAAACTGGAAGTAAAAAACCTCTGTCAGGTTTTCAGGTTCTCGTGGATTTTGCTTTCTTCTGCGACTCAATAGTGTCCAAATGCACAGTGAAGAAAGCAAGAAAACAAAACCCATATCCACGCTATCAGTGCTCGGGCATTAATACGACTCAGATGTCAACCTTCTCTGTTTGCTTTTATTTCTCTGCTCAGGCTTGACCCTCAGAGAGCCAATCCTCCTTTAAATCTCCAGTTTGGAAACACGTGACATCCTGCTTGATATTTGCAGATCGCCTGTGTTGTTTTTTAAATCGGCGTTACAGTTGTAGAAATAAAATCTAATTCCCAGTTTAAACGCATAATTCCTAAAATACTGGAGGAAAACTGTGTGAGTCTGGGTGGTGGTGTGGGTGGTGGGAGGGGGCTCCCTGTGCTTATCGGTGGCTGCAGGTTTTTCACTGATTTCTGCAGCGCTCACTGACTCGACATAAATTGAACACAGCAGTAAAAAATGCTGAACTCGCGAGCCAAGGGAAGAATTTATAAACGATCCCTGATGTTTTTATTGGAAAATGCTGGACTGTTTTACTTCCTGGCTCATTTCTTTTATCAAACCTGTATTTTACACACTCACTCAAATTGTCAGAGATTTGCTGTGTTGTTATAATTTGCGGCTTGATCCCTTCAGTCAAAGGTGATGTGATGACTGGTCTCCGAGCTGTCTGAAGCGCAGGCTGCAAGCCATAATTGAGACACAGAGCTGCGTAACCGTCTAATAAACATTTACTTACATTAGAGGAACTGCAAACACGGCTATGTTGTTTATACTCAGCACACTGCCAATCACATTGTTACAGCAAATCAACAAGGCAGCTCTTGGAGCCCGAAGAGAGCTTTCAGCTCAGGCTGAGGGCTGACAGCCTGAGACCGACTGATAGACTGGGAGAAGAATATGAGAGAGCGCGCTGAAAGAGCAGTGTGTGGTTAAAAACACTGTTTGAAGGCTGATTTAAAGCAACAGTCAGTCTACATGTCAGATTTAATTGTATTAAAATATCTATAAAAAAAAAGAGCCAAAGTTATGGGTTCACATTCCTTAAAAAAATAAAGAATGAATTAAGTATTTTTTTTTTAAATCCCTCAAAATTTAATATACTGGAGAAAATATTGCATATGGAGATTAATGAGTGTTTCTGGACTACTGGATTTTTGTAGGTCATTAGTTTCACAGCATAATGTATACTATTTTACAGACAGAATATTATAATATTTGCAATTTCAGTGGTGTATGGTTTTCCAACAGGTTAAACAAGCTGCAGAAACTTGAAATACTAAAAATAAGGGACCTTGAAAATTGGTAATTATTTTCCATCACAGATAATGCACGTTTTCTTTTTATAAAGAAATCATGTCACCACCAAAACCAGAAAAAGATGCATGCGATTCACAAACTCTACTGTATGAAAAACTTTCAAAAACGGTGAAAAAATAGAAATCTAGGGACCCAGTAGGTCACTTCATAGTCTTAAAACAACCACCTACATGTCTTTGTGATCCTCTTCCTCTTTTGATGTGTCCATGTCTTCTCTCGGTGTCTCAGGGTGCTGACCTTTAGCTCGGCGTTCCTGCCCTCATGTGTTTGGAGAGGAGCGGGAGCTCCCCTGCAAGCGCACAACAGAGAAAATCCATTGAACGCTCTGGTGTCAAAACAGAGCTCTTTGCAACATTTAGAATTGGACTCGAGCTTTACACGGTGCATGGTTAACTACCCCAGCATGACAAAGTGCAGATGGTTGACAATTTAAAGGAAAAGAAAAAAGTTATTAGTAATCTGAAATATCTGAAATGTCGCACTGGAGGGATGAAAGAAGATGTTTACCTCATTTTGAGTTCTGATGGTGGAGAGTGCCAATCCAGAATCTGCCATCCTAGGCTTCAGGCCATCCATATGATGAGCTTCATACTTATCACCACTCAGTGACCTCCTTGTGCCTTATGAGTTGGAGTGGGGTGAGGGTTATCTTCCATTAGAGAGTAAAGGTGGTCATTAAGAACTCCCACCACATATCTTCCTTGTAGGGGTACAGGAGTGGAGTTTTTTCCTGTAATTTGTCACTCATCTGTGCTGTTGCATGGAGGTTTGCAGGCCTTCTTAGAGGCCTGCAATCCTACTATATTTTTTTATACTTTTTTTTCTTTAGGTGTACTAGGCAGTAACATTATTCACTAAAGACATGTCACTGGTGCAGTTGAAAGCTATAAAAAATTTCTGTTTGTTAAACTGATTTCTTTGCACAGCAAGAATTAAATACTGCTCTGCTGCCCTGCAGGTATTAATATTTCATAACTTACACAGGCAGTTGAGGAAATTATCTTCAGTAGGACCATCATTTACATAATGCTTTCATTGCCTCATGAGGTTTTGCCCCTGTACTCTTCAGCCTTTTTACATTTTTTATATTCCTTAACCATTTTTAGCCCCACTGCAACAATTTCACCCACTCGTAATGGCAATCTGTGCTGATTGGTTCGAGCAGGGCATAATGGGAACCAGCCACGCAGCCCAGACAACTGAGGCACACTTCAGCAACTCGGTGACATGAGTGGAGGTGACAAGGACTCAGGATCATTTTACCATTTAGCTTAAAGTTTGGCAGGGTAATTTACATTAGGCTCGGTTTGCATGGCCGAGTGAGAGCAGCAGGGCAAAAGAAAAAGGCTCATGAGGACCAGGACTTCCTTTGGTCTCTTTGTCACTGCTTCATGTAAACTGACCGCTTACGCAGAACTAGAAGACTCCAGATTGGTTCTGAAATTTTTTGTACACTTATTGTTTAGCGAGGAGAATTATGGCAAACGGGTCAAATTTCCAAATCAATAACTTGTTGGGGTTTTTTTTCTTTTCAAGATGTTCTTCTGTTGTGATTTCTGCTTTTTGAAGGCCGGGCACTTTCTGAAACTCTGATGATGATGTAAACATAAAGTTCAACTAAAATACACACAAAAATAGATTTTTTCTTCAGTTTATTTATTATTTATTCTACAAACCATATTATTGAAACTCTGTGGTTCTTTTTTAATGTTAAAATTTAGCTTATGATTTGTGATTGATTTAGTAGGATTCCCCAGTTTTTCTGTCAGTGTCAGCGTCTTTTGTTGGTCTGATCAGTTGTGGTATTTGTTGTATTCCTGCTGCTTGGTAATTAATATTTCCTAATCAAAGAGGCGAGGCCGTTTGGGAGTTTTTAATTTCCAAACAGAGCTGCTGCAGAGCACTTTGTTAGGACCGAAGCATTTTGGATGTTTAGCTAGTGGAAACTGGTTGCACGTTGTGTTCTCAAATTCACTTGCAGTTATTGAAACCTTGAGTGGAAAAAAAGCCATCACGCATGTTTTCAACAAGGTTTTTTTTTTTCATTTTATGTCTGTGCATTCCCACGAAAAAAACAAAACAGAAAAATGTAGACCAGCAAGCTCTTCGCACTCGGAAGGAATGTTCTGTTTCGATCACACAACAAAAACATAAGATGGAGGAAATTCAGTTTTGGTCCAAAGTCTGGGAGAAACATTTGGAAGAGAGCTGGTGGGTGAGAGACAGGGAGAGCGATGCAGAGGGGTGGTGAGAGCGAGAAAGACAAAGATTGCGTGAGAGGTGATTTATCAACCTTTGTCTTTATGGGATTTTTTTTTACAGTCTGAATTTTTCACAGCCTGCTGAGATGGCTTATTGCTCTGATCATTCGGCATTCAGCTGGTGCAGAGAGTTTAATGGGCTACCTGTTGCATGGTTACAAACACTGAACAAACAGAAATGTGTTCATGCTTCTTTTTTTTAGCATCAGGTTTTCCCAGTGTACAGCAGTGGTGTAAAAGTGCATTTTGTATGCTTGTATGTATGTAAGCACCTGATATTACAGCAAAGAAACCAAAGTGCAGCAATATCCTTCCAAAAGAGACAAGGCCATGATCGCTTCATCTTCAGCAGAGGTTGAAGATGTTTTTGGACTTCTTCTTCTTCTTTTTTTTAAATGATGTAAAAAACAACAACACAACAACACTGAGAGGATCTCTTATAACATACAGCTGGTAAATTGTCTGATCCACATATTTAAAACAAAGTGCAGGAATATAATGAGGAGAGTAAATGTGTTGGTTGAGACCAAACCCGGAGCTAAGAAAGGATATCAGTGATTTACTTGGCACGCTGCATGAAACTTAAATTCAGTGCTGATGTGCTTTCAAACTGCTGAATATGTAAATAAGTACTCATTCTGTATCTGTTTAAAGGTTTCATTTGAGTCTACGTGATTATACGACACATCATCTCACTGTTGTGCAACAATTAAAAATACTTTAGCTTTAACTAAAAGTACAAATATGAAACAATAATTCATTACAAACAATAAGTCTCGGGTCTGTGTAATAAAATAATGATAAAACACTTTATTTTACACATTATATTGCAAATCTTTCATTTACCTCTATCTAGAAGCACAGAAGTAGCAGCAGTCTGCTTAGGTCTGCATTTGTGATCTGTTATGGAGTTAAACCGAATGATGAGTAAAACAAAGAGCATCTGAAAACAGCATCATATTTTACATCGATCTTTAAGGCTTTAGTTTGACTGCCCGGTGTGCACGGCTAGGCTCTTCTGATGACCCCAATTTAATTTCTCTTTCACAAATGTAATCCAAATATACTCTGCTAGTGTTTTTTCTTCTTTCTCTACTTTTTGAGATATTTCCTTTTCACTTTGAATGACACGTTGTTAATCTCTCTCAGCCTTCGTGGGGTGTATGATTTATTGTGTTTCCTCTTAACACACCACGCTGACCCCAGTCATCCCAGTCAATAAAGAGGCCAGGAAAAGTGCCCTGTCACTTTACAGCCCTGTTAAATTTACACTTTGATGCTGCCCCTCGTTTTCAGCTTCGAATTAAGCAGCCCACGCCACGTCCCCGTCTAGCCCATAAGAGCGTCTGTTGTGCCCCGACGGCCTTGCGAAATTGCAAGTGTGTGAGACGCAGCAGAACTTTTATTCAAGTGTGCAACTGTGATTTTCTAAATCCCTCCTCATCTCGTTCGGAAGAATTTTCTGAGTTTTATTTTATGTCTGCAGACCGTTCCCTGTCGGCGCGGCACAGAGCTGCACAGTAATTTGAACAGATGCTGGCTGGTAGAGTCACTGCATTGAAAATAGAATATTCTGTGGTCGTGGCTAAAAACATCTTCATGGCAGTTTCATCTAAAAGAGAATAATTCTGGTGCGTGCATTTGCTGGACTGTTCTGGCCTACGTGAGTTAGAGACGCTGCACGCAGAAGTGCAGGTGTAAGCTAAAAATGTGAGAGAACAGCTGAAGTCATGAGCACTGTGATAGAGGTTTTGATGGAGCACATGTTTTTCACAGTCGCTCCTTTCCTGCCTCTCTGAGAGGAGATTTGATCCTGACAGCACTCTTTGCAGCCAGTCTTTCTTGTGCTCTCTCTGCATATGGCATTCCCTGCAGGAGGGCCCACTGCTCTTCACCTTGGGCAGTGCCGGAGTGCTACAGAAGATTGCATGGATACCAAGCAGGAGATTGTCACAATATCCCGCCCTGCCAAAAAAACTTCAGTGACGCGATATAAACAACTGCCTTTGATCAGTGAGAGGCCTCATGATTTCAAACAGCCTGACAGCTCTTGCTTTGCAGGGACTGCGGGTGCAGGCCAGGGAAATATGATTAAATAACTGCATAGTATTTATGCTAGGAGAAAACACATTTTCTCCCTTCAAGCTCAACAGGGTATGTTAGTCATGGCCAGTGAGGCAATGTTGGAAGCACTGGACCCCCAGCAAGCGGTCGGCACCAAAACACAGCTCCTGAGCCCATCAGGGGAGGCCAGACTTCTCTGTTCTCTGAACGTCGTAGAGCTAAAACGCATCTGGTCGGATGCATGCTGCAAACCGTGCAGCAAGGCAGGTTTTTACTTTCTTCCGTTTTCTTCTTCTTTGCAAGGCTGAATAAAGTAAAATAAGAGCCACACAGCTTCTGCAGTCCAGAACAGGCCTCAGTATTTTTTTTTAGTACCAAGCTAAATGCTTTGCCTGGTATTAATTGGAGAAATATGCTCATTTTTATTATTCATATCCCTGCTAACAAGATAAGGATTGTAAACTATGAATTTGGTCTCTATTAGCTACTGACAGTCCAGCATTGTACTCGACAGTCAAGAAAACAACTGCAGCAAAAGTAATAAACAGATGCTCGCAAATTTAGCTCGTAAAAATGTGTTAGAAGACAGAATTGAGTAGAGAAAGAGAGAGGAGAGGGAATCAGGGTCCCTTCAGCTCACATTGTAGTGCATTACCCAAAACGGCTCTGAGATGGGGTCACTGGGTATGTGTGCATGTGTGATGCCTTCTTTGCTGACCAAGCGCTGAGCAGGAGCTCACACAAACGCACACACCTCCCACTCCTAACCTGACAAATTGTCGGATGAGCAGATGAGCGGAGACGTCCTCGTTCCTGAAAATAACTTTGCCTCAGAAAAAATCAGCAGGACGGTGCTCTAAATCATGGTGATCAATCCGAATGCGTTAGTCGTCCCCCCCCCCCCCCCCCATGACGGGAATAGTTATTAACCAAGAGATGTGTTTACAATTGATTAGATCAGTGGGGCCCCAAAAGTCCTGCCAACTCAGAGACATGGCTGTTGAAATTTATGATCAGCTGCGCCATGAAGAAAGAGGGAGCGTGTTTGTAACTGAGACAGAAAGAAAGCACAGAGATCTCTATCTTGTTTGCATGGCTAGAAGCCACTCTGCAGCTATTTCATTTTGACAGTTTTGCTGCCAGGTGACTTTGCAGCCACATGACAGACTTCAGTTACACATACGACTAATATGAGGATAAAGTATTCGGTGTGTGTCTGTGTGTGGGTGAGTGTTGGATTGGAGGTGGTTTAGGAAGGTAAAAAAAAAAGTTGTAAAAAAAAATCCAATTTTCTGTCAGGCTCAAATTATAGCCTGAGTTTCTGCTCTCACCCCCCCAAACACATCGCAGAATGATCTACAAACTACAACTGGAGCCTGTAAGCAGCCAGTGATCAAGACCATCCATTACACACTCAGACAGACAAACACACTGACGCGCACTCTCGGCTCTGCACACCAGCGGATTTCACAAGTCGCAGAATTTCCTCACAAAGAGCGAGAAATCCCTTTGTTCCACCCAATCAAACCCCATGAAATATCACAGCGATCGAAGGCATAAATCATCATTTATGAACACGCTGCCAGGAGCCATGTGACTGGGACGTTTAGTAGAATAGAGGATCAGTCATTTCTTTCATTTATTTACTTTTAAAGGGTGCTGACAAAATGAAAAATGTTTGTCCCAAGTGCCCAGTGCTGTAATAGATTATATCTATTTGACTTTTTGAGAGTGTCTCAGATCAGAAAACACTTAATATCAGCATGGCTCTAAGGGGAACAGGGTGATTTGAGAAAGCCAAATAAGGCCACGCTGATAAATAATAGCATTTATCTTTCAGTAGCCGTGAGCGTGTGAAATACACGGTCTTAAAACTCCATTTTTCAAGAGCAAAACTGTTGCAAAATATTGCATAGAAACCATTTCAAATCTTTGTGCCAAAAAGAGGAAAAGAAGAAAGGCCGGGGCAATAAAAACTTTCATCTTGTTCAAACTCATCCACATGTGATTTGAATCAGTGAAGTGTGAATTGCTTCCTTAAATTCTGAATAATAGCATTTGGACAAACACCGTTAAAAACACATTTATTTTATTAAACTAATATATCATCTCCAATAAAACATTGTGTGTCTAATCGTCAAGTTACATCCTTTCTGGGCGGTGTCATGTTATGACTTTTCTTTACATGCATTTGGGGTTTTAAAAAAAATCAGAACTTCAGACATTGACAAATATCAGTCCTGATACAATTATAGAAACACAAACCTCTCCTAACAGTTTTTAACCCTTTCCTGACTCACTAGGTAAAGACAGTTCTGGTCTGGCAGATTCTGACTTGGCCCCAGACTCCGACCCACCTGGAATGGACACCAGATACCTAGCTGTGAAGGATCAGGGCGTCAAGGTGGCCCCTGATAGGACGCCAGGCACTGACTTAGCGAGCCCTCTGGAAAAGGCTGATGGTGGCGAAAGCAACAAAGGCAAAAAGAGGCGCAACCGCACGACCTTTACGAGCTACCAGCTGGAAGAACTAGAGAAGGTTTTCCAGAAGACACATTATCCTGATGTTTATGCTCGAGAGCAGCTCGCGCTCAGGACGGACCTGACTGAAGCCCGCGTGCAGGTACTGCAGCACACTCAGCAGCAGCTGAGGGGGAATTTCACATGAAGCTAAATGGGTTAAACAAACTGCAGATAGAGCTCGAAAAAAGGAAACACTGCACTTTATAATAACACACTGAGGCTGATTAAAAAACTTTATTTAGGGTGGTCGTTCAGTTTTGTGTCTTTAGAGACGTTAACTTCTCCATTAGAGGTGTAAAAAGAAAAACTAAGCTCTTCCACAGCTGAACTCTTTTTACCCCCCCCAAGCATCACAACCTCATGGATCTTTGAGCATCTGCAGCTCGACACAGATAACGTCACTCACAGAACAACATGAGAGATTTATCTGGTAATGTGGGAGTCAGGGGAGAGAGTGGGGGAGTGGGAGCTAACAGAGGCCAGGGGGGCCCAGGGGGTAGCTGAGGTTTGAGCTGCCTGGGCCTCATATGTGCAGTTTTAGGAGTGCAGACTTTCATCAACATATGAGGAGACCCCTTTGACGCCGCTGTTTCTATTTTTCCCCCGTCGCATTTGTACCCATACGGTTTAATTTGCTGAATTTCTGATTTTAGCTTTGCCAGCGTTTGTCTGGCTTGAGGTGTCTCGCTGGCCCGGTTATGACTGCTTTGATACATTCCAACATTAATGGGCAGAGAAGGAAACCTTCACTGTTTCTGTGCCATGTCTGTGTGTGGTGTATGCGTATGACTACAAAAGCCCCTGGATTTTCTCTGTTTTTCTTTCATTAAGTTCCTCTTCTGACAAGAATGTGTCCCTGCTGTTGTCTCCGGGGGTAAGGTGTGAAACTTTTCCCGTGGGCTTTTAGCGAGCTGGAGATTTATATGTGAATTCATATCTATTTGAAGGCATGTGATGTCTTCCAACAATGTACGGAGACAATATTATGGATATAGTTTTTGATGTGCGGGGCTGTCATACATGGGATGAGATAGATTAAAGCTAGATTAAAACCAATCTTTGACATGGAGCGGTGGCCAGCAAATTTCCACAGCGAAATGCAGGAAGTCCACGTAGCCAAAGTGTTATAACTCAACCCCGAGTCGCTCAAGGTATGCTGCTCGGCTCTGTTCTGCAGCTCGCGCTATCACGGACCTGCCCGCTTCAGATGAATGCAGCTTTTTACAGCCCTCGGCTCTCCCAGTGGTCTTCTTAAACGCTCAAGTTAAAAAAGATAAAAGACACGAGATGCCTTGTCAGTCAGAGAACGGGGCTCTGTGCTCCACACACACACGCACAAAAAAGCCCTCACAGCTCATCATTTCAACATCTGGAATGAAAAACACCAAAATGGGAAGAAAAAAAAGTTGATCAGCTGATAAAAGAAAAACGACGACAGCTTTTAAAAACCTTTTGTTTAATTATAAAAACAAAAGACAAAAATCACTGAGAGTCCATACTTAAGTTCGTTGCATGAAAACAGGGGGCTTTCAGTTAAACAACATCAAGGATCGGAGTTGTTTGCTTTTTCAGTCTTGGGGTTTCAAAGGAAGAGAGTGAGCCCAGCTCTTATATACAATATAGGAAGGTCAAAGGTCAAGGGTTTCAATAGCATTGTTCGCTGCTCTGTTGGTCCTGAGAATCAAGATGGCATCTAGTGTGGAGTCACCATCTCTAACTCACAACACTGATAAAAATGTATTTTTTCTATGAAGCCATTTAAAAAAAAATGAAATCATGTTTACACTAATACTGTGAGTTGAGCTGCGTTCCTTAATGCGACGTGTTTGCAATTAGCAACAGGTTAAAAACCTCCAAGTATTGTTTACTTTACCTTTACTTAAAAATAAAAATAGGACGTAACAACATTAAGACTTAACAGGTCTTGCAACAGTATCCCTGCCAAGACTGTTAGCCTTTGAGTTAGCGAGAGGTACAGAATAGGAAACACAAAAGTGTTTACAACATAGAAATTAAACAGGATAAAGCTTCACCTTCATATGGAAGCTTGTTTCTGCCACTCAAAAGAAATGTGGGTTAAGGATCTCAAAAATGACATCAAATGACATCCTGTACTTGTGTACAACTTAGCTTAGAGAATAACTTCACAAGGCAACTATTTAAACACAAGGCTGCTACACAGTGTGTAGATGTTCCACGGAAGCCAGTGCTAAATTGAAGTAAAATAAATAAATAAAAGAACTTCACCATTACAAGGAAACTGCATAAAAGCAGAATTTTCTTACTAACTTCTGAGAAAATTACTCAAATATAATCTCAAGTTATTACATCCAAGTTTTCAGATAATAGCTTGAAATTTGATTTAGCATTGCCTGGTAAAAAATAAAATAAAATAAAAACAAAAAGACCCAAACTTTAAACGAGGGCAGTGAGGGTCAACTTTAGTTGGCAGGTGTGACTGCTATAGCTGTGACCCACCTTTATCATTATGTTTTACACTTTTTACATTTCAGGCAAATGATTAAAGGTAACGTTGTGTTTAACTGCATGTTAAACTAGCAGCTGAAAATATAATGTTAGTTATTAATACCTTTAATATAAATAATATTAATGGTGTTAGCAAATCCTGTGTTGCTTTTGATCATGGCCTATTACAAAACAAGGCTGCAGCAGTCTTTTCCAGCATGCATCACATTCCCAGTTCAGTTCTACATTTCTTTGTGTTTTGTGTCCACTGCTTGTCCTCATCTTACCTTTAATTGACACAGGAAATAAGACATTATGTGGTGGGAGGAGGAGAAACGAGAACAAACTCACATTTAATGAACAATAACATCGCTCAGAGGCGCTTCAGCGATATTATTGGCGCTTAAGAGTGTTGGAAAACCGAAGCCAGGCTCAGCCTTGGATTTCTTTTTACTTTGGCTTGGAAGCTGACATGAGTGACAGCAGAGGCGGGTTATCAATCCTCTGAGCCGGTCTCTCACTTCAAAGTGTTTTCAGCCCCATACAGCTCTCCTGCCGGGGCCAGTTTGGTATTTCTCTGCTCTTTCTCTCTGGGGCAGTAACATAAATAAAGCCTCATTGAAAGTCCACCAGCTACTTAAGCTGTCAAGGTCTTTACCAATTACTGTCACAAAGCAGCGTGTGCAACGCAAAAATATGTTCTCGCTGTATAATAGCCAACAGACTTGGCACGAAGCAAAGACTGAGCAGGTTCGAGCTGCTGGCGACACTTATACTGGGCCTTAGAGGTAGCACACAAACATTTTTGGAGTGTAATTATCGATATTAGTCCAAAAGAGCCAGCGCGATCTTGCCTGGGGTTGAGCATCCTGAGTTGGACAGTGTAGAAGAGGATGCATTAAAACATAAGGGAAAGAAGGATTATGCCCTTTGGTCTGTGTGCTTCTTTAATTTAGTAGGGGACAGCGTCAGAAAGCCAGGAGTTTTGGCTTCAGGAAATTAAAAAGCAAAATGCAAACAAACCTCAACTTATAATCCCATCTCACCTTTCAATGTCCTTTATTGCCTGCATAGATTTATAGTGAAATATCTGGGCACAAAATGTGAGAAATCCCATCGGAAGGGAACTTTTTGGTGCCGAATTTAAAATATAATCAGTCCAGGCTGGTAGCTGAGAGTTGCAAAGGAAATCAGGTGACCTCGAAAGCGTGCCAGAGACAGTGATGATAATTTAAACAAACTAATGCTCTCGATAAACAACGCCATCGGGTTCAGACATCAAAGATAATTATAGATGTCTGTTTTTGGCGGTCAGTATATAAGCACTAAGGTGAGGCGAAGGCAGCAGCACATTGTTTACATGTTTTATCGTCATTGTTGTCTTTATCATCTATAGGATTTTGTTCATTATTATTATAATTAAAACTAAAAATAATAATTCCTTTCTGCTGCAAGTTTACACCTACGTTTGAATTTTTGATATGCTTCAGATAATATTTGTGATATTCAGGCTTTCAGCCATTGGCAGTCTACCCGCATAAGAGTCGTTTTCCCATTTGAAATGGAAACTTAGATTTGTATCTATAGAAAAGTATTTCCTTTAGATTTGAGGGGAAAGCTGATGTTAAGAGTTTAGGCTCCTCTGACTGCACAGTCTGTCCTGGATGAAAGTAAAGAAAACCTCAAGTGTTGCTGGTGGTTTTTGTGATATTTGGACCTTTTTCTTTCTCTGCAGGTGTGGTTCCAGAACAGGAGAGCGAAATGGCGAAAGAGGGAACGCTTTGGCCAGATGCAGCAAGTCCGAACACACTTCTCCACAGCTTACGAGCTGCCTCTCCTGACTCGTCCTGAAAACTATGCTCAGGTACAGTGTGAGCTCTTTAACACGTGTTCTTTCAGACCTCTCTCCCCCGACCAAAAGCTAAACGTAGACGGGGGTGATTTTTTTTTCTCTTTACTGCTATGATCCTAATTTCTGCTACAGACTGGGAACGATTCGCTTGCAATAAAATCAACTTTTAATTGCCTTCCGTTGCGTCAGGAAAGTTGCTGCAGGTGGCAACAGTTAAAAAAAGAATCTCTTTTTCAAGGAGTTGTTGAACATTTTTGAGAAACTTGGCCTTTTTCCTTCATAGTAAGATTATTTTTAAGAAGAAAAAGGGCAAAGTATGTAACGCATTTTGTACCTCTGTAGGGTACTGATGAACATGCTATGCTGTTTTTTGTCTAATTTTTTTCAGGAGGTTCACAGTTTACCAACATTAACCCTCAACAAGGATGCAAATAACTAATACATGTACCCTAATTACAAATTCCTTAAGCATGTAAGGGTTTAGATTGGACTGTGCTGGGTTACAGGAATTGGCACTTGAAGATAAGGAGAGCCAGATAAAGGAAAAATACACCTGCACTAATCTATTGTGTACACAAGTGTTCGTGGGTTAAACAGCCAATGTAGTCTTTGCTTTCTTTGAGCGTGCATTCAAAATAATGAGGTGTGTGACTGCCTCACTCATGTTGATTTTCTAACAATATTCCAGATCCAGAACCCTTCCTGGATCGGCGGCAGCAGCGCTGCGTCTCCCGTGCCGGGCTGCGTTGTGCCCTGCGACACGGTGACTCCATGCATGACACCTCACCCCCACTCTGCCAGCGGGGTGTCTGATTTTCTGGGAGTACCGAGTCCCGGAGGTCACGTGGGGCAGGCTCACATGGGCAGCCTGTTTGGAGGATCTCCTGGCATGGCTGGAGGCATCAACACTTACGATCTCAACATGGACCCCGACCGCAAGTCCTCCAGCATCGCCGCTTTGCGCATGAAAGCCAAAGAGCACAGTGCAGCCATATCTTGGGCCACATGATGTGTTGACACATGCTGGATGACGGGGGACCTTGCTGACCCCTGAAAAGTCTAAACAATCCCAGAACGGAGTAAGAGGTGGCACTAAAATCAAGGCAACAGTGGCTACCTTCAAAAATGCTGCAATCAAATTATGTGGGGAAAAAAAGAGAGATAAAGATTTGGCAAAATCGGCAGTGCCATGTTTTTGGTGGCACAGCAGTGAGTGCTGTGGAAGCCCAGTGAGAAGGTGAAGGTGTGCTGTATAACAGGAGTTGCAGTGTAGTGCTAAAGATAGGCAAATATATATATATATATATATATATATAAAAAAGATGCTAGAAAAAGTTCAATTAATCCAAAAAAAGAAGAAAAAAAAATCCATGCACTTATTTGCTAACACAGACACAATTCTATTTGTACAGAGCTTTTGGTATCTTTGTTTTGGTGCTGTTTTTATTCTAATCTTGTTATTTAAAATGTCACCTTTTTTCCCTTTTTTGCGTCATTTAATTTGAAGTTTTGATTCCACAGCTAGTTTAAAAAGCATTCTGAAAAACACCCTTTAAAAAACCTCCATACATTTTACTCTTTTCAGCATTAACTTAAGTCATGCCGGTGCTGAGATGACCATCAATACAAGCGTCACAGTAACCAAGTCTGGGTATGTTTTCCAGTGACTGAAAACATAGACAGGGCTCTTCCCTCTAACATTACAAAGTAAAACAGATGAAAAGTGGTTCTCTTGAGTATGGCCAAGGGTAAAAGATCCACCTGCTGCACAAACCCAGCCTGCTGATGCCCAGAGAGGAGGAGGAAATGGTGTATGGGAGTACGAGAGGGGCACAGCAGGCCTGCTGCTCTCAGGGTTGAAGAGCCTGGGAGCGCCAGCCTCCAAACAGATGCAGCTCTGTTTTCAGGAGAAAGACTCCAAGTGGACATGACTGTGCCCCATGCATTTCTAGTCTCACAGGTCTCAGAAAGAGAAGTGCCTACCAGTCAGCCAGACTGCCAGAAATAACACAGGAACCAGCAGAAGCCTCTTTTGAAACAGAGCGGGCTACTGGGGATAACACCGTGTGTTGACGCTCTTAAGCACTGAATGGATGTCAGTATTCAGCAGCCTTTTCTGGACTTTAACAAGCCTGCATTTGGCTTTCAGTGCAGCGCTGGCATACATGTCATTGTTACTCTTCCTCTTCTTTTTTTTTTAACCATCATCAAATCTTTCAAAGTACTCCATCACCCTGATTAATGCACAGTGAAACATAAAACAAACTAAATGGCAGAAAATCCACTGGTGCTTCGATGATCAGTCCACCATCTACAGCAAGGTGACTGATGGGAATGAGGTTAAAACTGGCTGAAAGTTCTCTACAGCAGAACAAGGCAGGATAATTGTGTCCATCACAAAGTTGTGGCATGGAGACGAGGATTAAAGCTACAAAACTTTGGTCCTAGCTTCATCTGTTTTTTTCCCCCGTCAGATACCAACATGACAGGTCCATGTCTTCCCTCTGCTTTCGTCTAGTTTACTTCTATCAGGACTTAAGCACTATTCCCTGTGTCTGTGTCCTTTGCCCCCACGAAAAGAAGTGTAAGATAGAGGTTGACCCAGCCAGATACCTCATACCTTTCCGGGGATATCATTCAAATTTTTAAGCATATTTAAAAAGCAAACTTCCATTTTTCCCTGGTAACAGCATCTTGCAGTGACAGAAATAGCCAATGAGCTTTTCAAGTGCAGCAAGATGAGGTAATACATGGCTTCCTTTGTTTGCAAAGCCTGATTTAGGCCTGAAGCATAACAAAGGGTTTCATGGTCTCAGAAAGCAAACCCGATACCTTGTGGTACCACCTCGAGGCAGAGCAACCATTGCTAATTCCCTAAACTAAACCACATTCCCTCTCCTCCTGGGTAGGTAGGTAAGAGAGGTGAGGTGCAGGCTACAACCTGTCAGCAGAGCAGATCGCTCTCAAGTTGTCCAAATCACCTCCAGTTTCACTCCTCTGTCCAAATGCGAGGCATGTGCATGCACAGAGGACATATCCCAGAAGTGAGAGGGTATCCTTGCGAATCTGAACATGGGGCCCCCTGTGCTCTAGCCTAGGGGTTGGACGGAGGGCGAGCTGTGAGGGCGTCTGCTGTGTTCCGGTGTTCTGGGAAAAGGACAGTGCACACAGCTGCGCTCAGGGGGTAAATGCAAAACAAACATGCCTCACACATGCTTCCCCCTCAGCTGTCATGGCTCTGCTTTCAAAGATCTACTCCCCCCTCCCCAATCACACAAATTGCACTGCGCCTCTCCTTTCGCTCACTCCCACTACGTCCACCAGCCCCAAGCCGCAGCCCCTCATCGCAGGGTCTGAGGCACAGCCACACAGGCAACCGAGGAAGGCTTTTTAATTAACACTGAGCCATGTGGAGGCTATGGACTGCAGTATTGTGTGTCAGGATGGACAGGACTGTCTGTCTTCTAGTTGGTCTAGCTGGACGCAGACATACTGGCAATGAGACGCTCAGGTTTACCGTTTTCTGTGCATTTATGAGAATCTCCAGTGAGGTCTTTAACATATGGAAACCAAAGATGGACTGTTTTTACCCCTTTAAGTAATTTCCTACACTTACACAAAGCCTGTTAATGCAAGATTCAGCTTTATATTAAAAAAAATCTCTCTTGTATGCTGCACAACTCCAGCCTTGAGTGATAACATCCCCCCTTCTCATTTTTCTAATACTACTGAAGTCAGGTAATCAGTATAGGAGTAAATATATGATAAATGCGTGCTGTTGTGTGCATGTACAGAGTTGTGCGTGCAGCTTGAAGTGTCATAAGACTCGTAAACATTTTACTAATTTGATGCTGTTTTATTTTGTGGGACAATTTATAAATATTTGAGTGTAAAACTTTTCTTAAACTTGGCGATGATCTGTTTGTATTCCTTGTGTTTGTGGACATTGTTTTCTCATCATGTTATTCTTTAATTTCCCCCTCCTACCAAGTTTGTGTGGCTTTAAGCTGTCTTTGGAAACGAGAGTATGAATTTACTCATGCTTGTGTGATTAAAATACCATAAGTTATTGTACTTTGATTTAGAGTCGCTGTGTTCTGAAATGCGTTACAGCCTTAATAAGGTGGAAGCAGCAAAACAGTAACTGCTCCCTGCAGCTTCTCAGCAGACCGAGACTTCCAGAAAACTCAAACGACTGCAGCCGCGGTACAGAAGAAAACCATCCTCCTATTAGCACTCGAAGATCACTCAAGTCACTCCGAGTCTCAAGAGAAGTCTTTCAAGATGTCAGCTAAAGGCGCTGGTTGGCCAGAGAAGTGTCTGAGGATTGTTGAGAAAACCCATAAAAATTGCTCCGTCTTATTACTTCGCACCACCGTGCCAAAATATTGTGTCATCCCTGTAGTCACATTGTGAAATCCCCGTGCGTTTCAGGTCCTTTGAAGGGACACGAGTGCTGAAATGAGATCGCGCAACCCGCAAGACTATCACGCTAATTGAAGCTGACAAAAATACGAACTGCACCCTTTTGAACCGCTGACATTGAACAGGGTGGATTAGGCAGCTATATTAACAACAGGTGACAGCCTGGAGGGAACAGTGGATCGGCCGTGTCACGGAGGGGCTGATCTGGACAGTCACAGATTACAGCGCGAGGCAGACGTTAAAGAGGAAAATGTCTTTCCTCATCTTCTTTCCCACCTCTCTTGAACATCGAGGAAAATAAAAAAAAACTGTGGTACATGGTTGTGCAGGGTTTTACTTGTATTACAAAGTCACATATATACAGTTAAATGCATAAACCCCAGTCGAAAAAATATGAAAACGGGAAAGAGAAATTTAAAACATACAAACAAACAAAACCATCTTAAAAGACCGCACTGCTCGCAGATTTGCTGCGTTAATGATGTAACTGGAGAAATTAGTGACAAAAAAGGTCAAAAAGTGAAACATACACAATATGTTAGATTAAAAAAAACAGGAAAAACAAACAAACCGTTTATGTCTGTTTTGAAAAAGGTGGATTTGTCAACCAATCTTCTATTCTAATGTAGTGTTCATACACAATTCATGAACTGACTTCAGTTTTCTTACATTTCTACGCATAAATACAAAGAAAGGCTCGCTCAGGCGGTATAAAATTACAGTTGCAGTGAAATGCTCCAGTAGCTCGACATGCCTGCTTCCAAATCACTCTAAATCTTAGATTTACGGTGCCAGCTTTTCCCCAAGGTCCGCTCTGACTGCATAAAGCACTGTACATCATGAATAAAGTGTACACGGATGTGTCCTTGAATCGTTTTGATATTTATCGTGTTAACTTTAACATTTATTACTCTTTCAGTGTTGTACAGTTTTAAGAACAATGTCCCATGTCAGCTTTTTGGAAAGAAGGAAAAACATAGACGAGAAAGTTTGTGTTGGAGAATCATAAATTATACAGCACTGCTGCAAAATACAAATATATACACTGTATACACTGAATCGAGAGTAGCTGGAGCCCAAAGCAACCAGCTCCAAAACGGTAACAGTGAGGGACCAAAAACCTGGAGTCAGTCGGCCTTGTCCGTCAAACGTCAAACTACTTCACAGCCACCTCAGATTTTGGTTTAACTCTGATTTAAAATATAAACCTGATGTCATTAAATTCAAGGTAAAAACAAAAATCACTTGAACTGAGAGGGGACATGAGCACATCCCGCTTCAGTCAGAAAACAGTGTTGGTTATGCGTGTTTGAGTGCTGAGGCTGCGATGGGGTCCAAACATCCTCTGCTGGCTGGTCAGAGGCTGCCGATGTTGGGGAAGCTCTTCAGCTTCTCTGGGAAGTCATCTTTATAGAGCACCGGGTCTGCGCGATGTTCCACCACTTTCAGAGGCATCGTCCCGAAAACTGAGGCAAACTTGTTGATGCACTCAGATCTACAGAGCGGGAGACATTTTATCAACAAGCATGATAAAACCATTCATATAGCATCTGACCCTTAATATACTCAATACTGAGATTGGGTACATTAAGGTCACTTACATTATTCTGACATTTTATGCAATTGCTACATGAAGGTTTTTATAACGTTTGTTTTTGGACATTGGCTACTTTTTCACTTATTTTTAGTCTTTGTACAAAATTATTTTCTTGTTTTTTTTTGACTGTTAGAAAACAAACAGTGCAATAAACACACTCGACTACTGATGTTCTGAAACTGCACCAAACTAAAATGATCTGAGGGAATTTCAGCTGCTCTTTGTTGATCATTTGGAAAACAAATACCTCTCCACCATGTGTGTCTGATCCAGCGATAGTCCATCTATGGCAGTACATTCAGGGCACTTAAACTTCTTCCTTGGAGTCACCTAAACAGAAGCACAGTTACAGTCACACCAGTGATATTTGCTCACTTCAGGGTTTGTTAAAGCTCAGCATCCTAAACAGGAGCAGTTTGGTCAAATGAAGCAAGTCTTTGACATCCAAAGAGAACTTTTGTTGCAGACAGTGTGAAGAATTACTTTTTAATTCTTATCGGCAGGACATTTCCTTCTCTTGACTTTTGTCATGAACATGTGAACATTTGAATGTACGTGTGTAGAAGGAAGGGGAAGACAGATATTCTTGGTCAAAGAGGGTAAGTTAAGGAACCTGTTGGAGATGTTATGGGAGGTAGGACCAGGGGTGCAGGTGTAGGAAAGTGTGCAGCCTGTGATTTGACAGCAGAGTGTGCATAAGCCCTAGTGAGCTTAGAAAAACACACTGGGAGGGGGAGTGTCAGTGAGTGACTCCCAGATAAGGGAGGTTAAAGTCGGGCTTTAGCTCAGGGCCCCTGCACCTGGATAGAGTTGGGGTGATGGGGAGGGGGAGAGGCTGTGATGTTGAAGGGTGAGAGCTGATCAGACCCAGAGATGCTGGTCTGCTGTGTCAGGCTACAGACTCCCCACGCAAACTTTTAACACCCAGACCAGACAGAGCCATGAACATACCTTTATGGGGGCTTTGCCAGTGATGTTAGCCACCAGGAAATTCATGGCAATATCTTCACAGTTCATGTGAGCATCCACCCAGTTCTTGATGTCTCCCGGCATCTTATATGTGTACAAATAGTTGAAGTACTGAAAAGAAAGAAAAGAGCGGACAGTTTAACATAGTGAACCAGCAGCATGTAAGGAGAACTATTGTTTTTCTAATTTCCTTTAAACTCAATGCACAAATGCCTTTCAAAGACTAGCTTTTGCATTACTGTTAAGCAAAAGTACCATCAGTACCTTCAATACTTCTTTTACATCAATGCACTACTGATGCTGTGGTCTAATCTAAGATGAGCTTCACACATTTTCACTGAAAAATTGCTAGTGTAGAAAATAGTTGCAGCAATACAAAAACATAGCAATGCTGGGACCACGAGGGCACAAATTCCAAAAATGACTTGCGACCCAAAGTCTATGCTTTATCATCTTCCCACAGAAATTACCCCAACTTTTGCTGAACTGTTACATACTTCTTGTGAAGTCTTAAACATGTTAAAACATGGGCTCATTTTTCCAAAGGAAAACAAACGCGGCAAATTAAAGCTCAACTTGTTTTCAAGCAACCTGTCTCAGATCACCTTGTGGTAGAAGGCAGCTCCAGTTAGAACCATGGAGACCTCATTGGTCCACTCCGACTCATACTTCCACTTTCCCATTTCATGGTCCCAGAGGTGCAGCCGCCCGGGGTAGCCCACCAGCCTGTCTGGAAACTCCCTCCAAACCTGGAAAGAGCAGAAGAGAAGACAGATCATCTAACACTCAGCTAACGCGAACAGGGATAAGAATTAAGGACTTGCATTAAAAAATGAAATATTCAGAACAAAGTTCAATTGAAGTTTTAATCTTACATCCAAATATCAGCGTCTGATGCTTTTCCAAAAACGATTACTCAAAGTCAAAAACTTGGAAAACAAAGAGAACGCTTTCAGAAAGAAACTGATTCATGACAAGCTGAATATTTCAACAGGCTGCTGGCTCAACACCAGCAGTCAATCTGACCTCCCTCTATAAGCAGAGTCACCAACAGTGAAACTCCTCCTCTATACTGCCTGTAATTCAGCGTAATTACCCTTTAACTGAGCATAATTTTATTAAATGGTTTTTAAATGGATTCAGGTGAGTGTGCATGGCTAAAAAGAGCTGGACAGGTATGTGAGTATGGAAAGCATCAGCTCCAGACCTGTCATTGTTCTTCACACATCAAACACATTAAACAGGCAGTCAAATCCCCAACCACTAGAGAATAAACACTGTAATCTCACTCAATGACTTTAAACTCTGGGATCAACTTGAAGTGGTTCCCTGCAATACCTGCCATCAGGGAGATGACTGGAAAGTATGGCCAAGGTTAAATTCTTCTTTTGTTTTTCCTCACCTCGTAGCCAAACTGCAGTTCATCAGATGTTAGCATGATGATGTCATCATCGATCGCTAGCACAGCTTCGGTCTCGATCTCGTCATAGGGGAAGAAACGGTTGCTCAGTTTGTTCTCTTTGGTTCGCACAACTTTGAGTGGGACGCTGATCTTCGGCCAAAGAGTTTCTATCAATGGTGAAAAAACTTTTTTTTTTTAAATTAATTTTTTTTTTTTTTTAAACAGAAAGAAAAATTCCAAAAATGTACTTTTAAAGACAAACATTGCTGAGTTCACGTTATGTGATAATGAGTTGGCTATATTTGGTGTCACTGAATAATCAAATTAAATGACTGCAAATAAAAATGAGATGTATGTGGAAGACATTTAGGGGTTGAAAATGATTGGAAAAAAATCAGTGTGTGAAGATATCATTTACCCCTGAAAGAGGTTTTGAAATCTTTGCTGGCAGTGGAAAAATAGTGCTGTGGGAGCTTAACTTCCCTCACTGACTCGTATCGCTATACTAACCTCAAGCACATGCAAATCTAACCACACTACAATTCTTCAGGAGGCAGACCAACAGGGGAGCATTTCAAAGATCTTGGGCAGTGTCCATGGCACGGACTATGGCACAGACAGATCACACAGAATGTGTTCCCCCATTAATGGAGTAACTGAGGCCTGGAAGCCCATGAGAGGAGCTCC